TAAGAATTTAGAAATATTAATATAAAATTAGAATTATAAGCATTTTTTTATAAATATATGAAAAAAAAAATTAATTTAGTTCGTACTCATGGGGAGCTCGATGCGTGAGTTCGGGTCCTGCGAGACTACCAGAATGTCCTTCCCTATCCCTAGACACTAGTCCTAGCGTCAGACATGCGAGCGATACTATTAAGAGTCCAATGTATTGCCAAGATCGTACGGGCAATACTACGTGACGTGTACGTCGCATCCTTTCGCAAAATATTATCCAAATTTACGTTATCTGTAATTGAGTAGAATGCAATTCTATATATCTATGTACTTTTGTTTGTCACTTAAAGTTTCAAAGTGCGTTTAAAAATTGCAAGAATAAAAAAAAATAATACACGCAGAAATGTTTTAGTTTCGAAAACAAAAAATGTTTTTTTCTTCAGATGCGAAAAAAATATTCTATCTTTCTATCTTTTTTTTATAACAAAATTTTGCTCCAAAATTTAAAGTGAAATCTTTTGTATTAAATATCTCGCGGTTCTAGAATATCTCAGAGAGTCTCAGAGCGTCGATGAAAAGACATACCTGAGAGATTCAAGACTGCCGTGACCAAGTTCGCTGTTGGTATTCTGTAGGGCTTGGAGAGCTCTTCACGATTTCACGAGGAGTGCTCTTCCTCGGTGCTCCGGGAAGCTGCTGACGCTGAACGTCCCGAGGGAGCGAGTTTTATACTCGCGGGACCCGCGACGTAATTCGATTGAAACGCAATTCACCGCTTATCAGCAGCGACCACATGGTGCCCCATACGTCAGCGCGGCAAGATCGCCATGAACAAAGCGCGGGCGGGCAATATTGCGAGCGGAAAGATTGGAAAACCGAAATGCATTATCGGGTTAATCAGTTGGAAAATTGCGAATCGGGATAACGGTCGCACGTGGGTGTCCTTTAAAACGCGTTGAAGCTTAGTTTCGAAGGATCCAAATCGCTTTCAAATTGTTTGATCGAAATCCATTTTAAATTAATAAATTTGATTAAGGGAGGAAACCAGTGTAACAGCTAAACAAAAGGCTATTTTTAAGGATTTTTTTCCTGGTATATAATTGTTGTTTTTTTTTTTCAAATCGCGTTATTAACATCATAAAGTACATAATTTGAACTACCTTTTGTGAAATTTTCGTTAAAAAAAATATTAATATTTATAGCTACAATAGTTAATAGTCGTCTTAAAAAAAAAAAACGTATGGAATTTTCGAATAATTTGTTTTTTTGTAATGTTAAAAAACAGAAGTCAATATGTCACCAATTTTGAATTTTTTTCTTCAAAAGTCCGCCATTTTGTAACAAATTGTTTTTTTTTTCAAATCCATACGTGCCACTGAAGCTATTGTCTTACATTTTAAGAAAATATTTGTTTTTTTTGTTTCAGAACTTCCGTTGGCTTGCTACGCGTGCGCCCGTTTCTTTTAAGGCGGTTCACACTATTGGCTATTGTAGCTATAAATATTAATATTTTTTAACGATGATTTTACAAAAGATAGTTTTAATTATGTACTTTGTGATGTTAATAACGCGATTTGAAAAAAAAAAAACAATTATTTAGCAGAAAAAATCCTTAAAAGTTGTCTTTTTTTTTTAGCCGTTACACTGGTTTCCCCCTTTAAACAGAAATGTTAAATACAGACCTTATATATAATGCATTATAAATTTAACTAATTTTTATATATTTGATTCATTATTAATTTTTATATTTTTAACTTTAATTAAATATTTATAGAATATATGTATAGGAAACACACACACAAAATTTATTTTTAGAGAAGGAATGATAAATGAAAGTATCCAAGAGAGTCGAAATTTTTCTTCTACTTTCGACTTCAATATTTACCAAAAATTTAACATCTACTTTTAATACTTCTAATATTTTGGTACTTTAAGCAGTCAGATCACCCTATATTGAAACTATTTAATCTATAGTTTTATCGAAAGCTCTTTTTCTCTTTTAAACTTTTTAAGTTTTTAAGTGAGGAATTGTTCGTTTATTGCCTATTTAAGGTAGAAAATAGAAGCTTAATACAATACAATTTTTATATAAATGGAATATATCCAAATCCTCTAGAACTCAAAAAAGGAAAAAATAGAGATAAATTGAAAACAGGAAAAAAATTTCTCACTCGGATGTAGACAGGAATATATACAATGTGTTTAAAGACACATTTATTTTTATACAAAACTTGCATTACAAAAAGAGAAGCTTATGTATGTCTTATAAATACGCATTATTAATATATAATCATATTTACATATTATATTATATTATATATTTCTACATTTATATATATTTATGTTTATAGTGTGCGCTAGATCGACTTTTGAAAAACTTTGAAAAATTCTATCATCCCCTTACAAAGAGGAATTGACCAGCGACCTAGTACTTTAGGAACTTGCCGATCTGTTTCGAGTGGTCGGAAATCGTTCGAGGAAATCGCTCGTTGTGCAAGGTAAGATCGCTTAAATTAATAAATTAACCGGGCTCATTTCGTAAATTCAGAAATGTACAGGAAACGTTCGTAACGTAGAGAGCCTTTCGCATCATACTCGCGTAATCGATTGTGAGACTCGCATTCGTCTTGCAACGCTTATCGTTGACTATAGTTGACTATTTGCTCTGATATCTTACAACATAACGATCGATACGACGATGATAGTGACCAGGTTTATCACGGGTATATGAGAAATTCCAGAGGAGCCGGACGTGTTCTTGAATTCGCTACAAGTCGTGTCGTTCATTTCCGGTAGCGCCGTGTAATTCGGGAAATTCTGAATATCTGCCGGCTTGAAACAAAAAATTAAGAAAAATATATAATAACAATTTAAAAAAAATATATATATATATACATAATTATGAAAATTGTGAGTTTAATAATTTTTTTCAGCATTTATCGTTAGTTGGAAAGTGCAAATACGATTTTAAATTTTGATTACAAGTATTTTAATTGCATCAAGAGATTTTACCAATGCCAATTGGTCGTCCCTTTTTCTGCAGAATGTCATATGCCTGCCGTGATAAAGATTATTTTCTATTGATCTTGCGAGCAATTCTTCCGTCCATGGCAAAGCCAGCATATGTTCAGCCATAGTGCGACCTGGAAGTATTGAAGGAAACGTTAAAAATATTCTCTCAGGATTGCCTTATACACAAAATATTATAATGTATTTATGAATATTTTATTGATTTCTTATACTATTATTTCTATTATATATTTATACCTCGGAATTCTTCGGGCTCCTCGATAATGAGTCGCGAGAAGATATTATCGTCCTCATTCTCTTCCATGTAATCTTTCATTGCGGACTCGTCTGTCGGTCTTGCTGCCGGATAAGCGGAAAGCTGTTGCTGATTGGTCGAAGGCAGAGTCAAATCAGTTCTGGAAAATAAACGCTAAGTTTAAGCCAAGAGAAAGAGACGATAAAATCAATAGATTTTTGATAAGAAATATTACTCAATGCATGTACAATAAAATTGTTATAAATTTATCTTAATTAATATTGAAAAAGAGAACAATTAATATTCTTTAAAAATATAATTCTTTTCAATAAATAATTAAATTGAATTGAAAGATATTTTTTAGATTATTTATTAAATTAAAATATATCTTAACAAAATTCTGTGCGAGATAACTCACCCATTTATCAGGAATAGTTTCTCCAAGTATTCCATCGTCATTCCTCGGAAGCTTTGCACGCCGAGAGTCTTGAAAAGATCTCTGACAGGCGTCACGCTGTAGCAGCCGGCGAGCGGTGTCCTAGGATAATGCAGGACGAACGCCAGGCACATCTCCTGGGTAGCCGCGTAGCCGCCTAGAGTCGGTTTTGTCCTGTTCAAAGTGCCGTAAACGCATTCCGCCACGAGCTCGTCCCCAGGTAACACCTTTACTTCCTTTTCCAGCGTATGAGACTGCTGGTAGTTGAAATCAAAGTGATTGTCCTGGGCTATCCTCGGTAATTCTTTACCTCGTCGAATGTGCTTCAAGCTGAGACGACGTCCGGCTAAATGTGAATGCAGGACAACCGATACGATATTGATACCGTCTTCGGGGAACATCTGTGAAAAAAAAAAAAGTTAAGACCAACTCTTTTAGTTTTGTATATTCTTTATTTTATTATTTTATACACGTTGCAATTTTGAGCGTAAATATTTATTGCAATAAAAAGAAGCATAGAAATATAACGAAAACAATATCAGAATTCTAATAATGTTTGCCAAAAAAATAGAAGTACTATTTTTTATTTTTTAAATTTAATAAAGCACTGGTTTCAGTTTTTCAGTTTAATTTTAATTTCTTCCATTACCATATTTGTGCAGTGTGGAGTGCAGTATCCCGCGGTGGCGTATTCCTTCTGCTTCGGGGGCACTAAATGAAGGGGGCTGACCGCCACGCCGGCCACGAGGATGCCCGCTTCCTGAGGACGAAGTTTCGGAGTCAAGTAGAGTCTTACGCCGCTGCTGTCGATCACTTTCTTCATACTCGGATTATTATAGTGGACTTCCAGCATGTAATACGAGCTCTCGCCGTGTTCCGCTACAGGTATACCGACGTGTTCCGGCAGCCACTCTCCTGCAAGACATCGCGCGATAATAAAAGGTTTTACTTTTATTAAATTATTTATTAAAAAAAATAGTTGAGTAATCTAATTTGTCGTCCGAAAGTTTTCTCTTTCGATTATTTTTTAACGGTAAGATCGCGCGATAGACGACAATTTCGCCGACGTTTTGAACATATTTTGCGGGGAATTTCGTGCAAATTATCTTGCCGAGGGGGACAGCAACTCGATCGTGGCTCCAACATACTTTGTCTTCGCTTTATAGATAATTTACCTTTACTACCACGAGCCCAAGCGAGGACGGGCTGCAGACATGATTCCCAAGCTCGCGGCATCGTCGGGCTGTAGCAACGGGCACCCGCGATCCTGGCATGTTCGCCGAGGATCGGCGACGTCGATGCGCACTCGTATAGGATCACGTGATGGACCAGATCCTCGTTAGCCTTCTCCACGAGCGGTGTATACTGAAATTGTAACGTATAGATAACACATAAATGCGAGGCTGTTCGATATCTTCGCGATTTTTTATATTTGTACAAAAGAAATTTCGATTGATTTCCCCCGATTTGGAAAAACTATGTTTTAGCTTCTTTGAGAAGCTTCTCTCCCATCGATGTCTCAAAGATCGATTTGACGAGAATTTTACGACGGGATCCTGGGAACAGTCGCGAGCCTCTCTCCCGCGAGACCGCATTGACAGTCGGCCAACGTTTCGGTACACAGGCAGTGACATCATTCCGGATCTCTTCTTTATTCTAATGACGCGCGCGTCCACGCCGGGCGACGTCCGGCATGAATGACCGTGATTCGTGAAGCACATACGAATCAGGCCCAACCTTTGCATGCCATCGCAACGTCGGGACTTATTCTCGAGAGGTTCGCGTCTACTTGAGAAACCTGTTAGCGAGAATTTGCATCTTCGTGTATTTACTTACCCCTATCATGTGGTGTTTCTCTCTCAGCGAGGAGGCCTTGAAGATCTTGCACCAGTAAACGGTGTCCGTGTCATCCACCTCAAACTGTCAAAAAATGATGATAATATTAAATAGCAATCCCTTAATATACCCACAGAATTAAGAAAATGTCAAAGACTAGATTAAAATTGAAATTCAATCACATAAATAATCATAAAGTAAAATCATTAATATCCATAATTATTTTTATCAATCAACTTCATCAGAATTGATATTATGTTTCACTGCGCTAAAATAGCACACTAATAAACTTATTATGTTTTTGTTAGATAAATACGAAGATGAAAAGATTAAAGAAGGAGCGTGTATCTCATTACTCTACCTGGTTAAGTTTCACGTCCCAGTGTCGTATATTCCGAGTTTCTCGCGGTGGCGAATGTGCCGCAGCTGTCTTCAGCCTTAGGGCCTTTCCGCCTCGTCTATTCTCGTGCCATATCGCCGTGTTTAATTCTGGATCGGTCGGATGTAGAGCCCACAGCACTTTGACGGTGTCCTCCTGGAATCATACAAGCAAGTTTCGCTGTTTAAAGCGGCAACAATAATCAATATATGAAGATGAAGGATATTAACAAGTGGAAAAACTTGGCAGTTTGTAAAAAAAAAAAAAAATTGAAGAAATTTTATCTCCATAAATAATATTTCAAACGCGAATTTATAGAGTAGCATGCAATTAAAAACGGATACATTGATCGCCAAAAGTTCGTGCCACGGAGACAGGGGGGGGGGGGGACACAGACGGTATGTTAAATGCCTAAATACCGCCGCGGGAATTCGAAGCAGCGGGGCCTCTTAAAACCTGCGGGGCCCCTGCTTTCCGGGCATAAATCGAAAGAGGGTTCTTCGCGAATTCTACAGAGTCGCGACGGTTGTATAGTAAATCTTCCGTACCGCTTTCTCTCTCTCTCTCTCTTTCTCTCTTTTGCCGGCTTCCTCAGACCCCTTAAGGACCCCATTTGAGCCGGTACGAACTGCAGCGAGTTATGCGCACAGCGAAACTTGCTTTTTTTGCACGCGTTTTAATTACAGAGTAGCGGATTAGAGGTCGGAAGGTAATTTGGCGTTAGCGAGGCGCGATAAATTTCCGGCTCTCGCTGCGTTAATACACGCTTGCGATTTACTCCTGGCATCCGAATGACTCCTTTCAATTATGTATAATATTCGAAGCCACCGGAGATTCAGAATTTGTAAGATTTATTTTAAGAATCCAAAATATACCTCTGGACTCACAATTTTATAAGCGGCTGTTCATCATCCATTTTATAATGTTGTGTTTAATTTCTAATTTACAGCAATTGTTCGAGGAGGAATATATGTATAATATTGTGTTCATCGTAAGATCAAATATTGACAGCTTATTCTTTTTGCTAATTATTTAAGATGTATTATTTTTTTTTTTTTAATATAGAGAAAAACATTTGATACAATCATAAAATAAAAAATTACTCACATTTAATTATAACAGCAATGTTTGTATATATGATCATTGTATATCATTTTTAAATTATGTTTTAGTCTTGAGACTTACTGTGAGCTGATGATCTTGAGGGTCGCAGGTCTGCCACTTCCTAGCAAACATCACCGTGGTATGGGTCTCGTTTTGCGAACCGCCGAGTACTCGGACGTCCTGAGACGTGTCGGCAACTGGTGCAGCCTTCATCTCGATACCGTGCGAGTCCTGGAACATGAAGAGGAAGAGAGAGATGTTAGAATCGTCGTCATAGGGTTCAACGTACACTCGTCGAAACAAGGCCCCGCAGACCCCGAAACTCGCTTCTTGTACCTTGAACGAGAGATCGAGAGCTTTATCGGGTCAGGTGAGTGCCAGGTGTTCGCATTCGCGGCGAACTGGGACTCTAGGGGTCCTCCTGTCAGACGCAATTTGTCTCCCCAGCCTTACCTACTTTCTCTTTTACTTTGTTTAAGTAAAGTATGGTGAATGTGTCATTTTTTATAAGTTACGTCGCGGTTTTCATTCACACGTTTTAATGTCGGCCAGCCTGAATGACGTATAGTTTAGTTTTAGGCGTCATAATATAAAAAAGATATTGATACTATTCTAATAAAATTATTTACGCTGTGATTACACAGAGTGTACCACTTACAGATTATTAATTAATTAATTCAGAATCGATTTTTTCTTAATAAAAATGTTGAATTAAAAAATATATGGAATTGAAAACCACAAGTTAATAAAAAATCTTAATTCGAAAAGAGGATGTAAATCGACAAAAAATTTATTTTTTATTATTTTCTTAAAGGCTTAAAGTTTGCATAATAAAAAGATAATCTTTCATTTAATTTTGTCTACGAAAATGTCGATTGACAGAATTCATCAAGAACTTTACGGTACGGAATTATGTGGCAGGTCTGCTACACTTTTATACGCTGTTATGATTTTACGAAAAGATCCAGAATTACCGGCCAATATTACAGAGACCGTTGATAAGGCGTTATACTTTGAAAAGAAAAGAAGGGAGCAATTTCCCAGCTGCGTTATGGTAGCGCACGCGAGTAAGGGAGGCCGCGGGCGTTTAGGTCCGTTGGACCCCGGTTACGGTGGGGTGCATCCTGATGTTTGTACGCGGGGCAAGAGACGAGAGGCGAAACCCCGAAGGGAAGTCTCCTTCCTGCTCGTAATGAATCCAAATAATTGCCGCAGCGTCGTCATGCCCGATGGAGTACTACGTGTCTCGTAACGAGCACGTGTAGAAAGGAAATAGTAATAAATGCGTCTTCGCAAAATGTTGCAAGAAACCGGTGGAAATGTGAATAAGAAAAGGTACAAAAGGAAAGAGGAAAGAGGACAGGGATTGATTGATTATACTATTGTATTACCCATATTTTATAAATACTATCTTTATATGTTTGTCAGTATTGACACTTTAATGAAAATTAATAATATTTATTTATATTATATCTTTAACATATAATATACGCAGAAATTATTATTTCAATAAAAAACAGAAAAATTATCCACTCCTAAAAAAGGAATGTTAAGTCGATACTCGAAAGTTTCAAAGTATTGTTGCCTCTTTTCCGTGATACTGATTGGAGGTACGATTTTGCAAACCGATAGAAACGATTTAGGAGATCAGCTAAATCGTACCTTTTACACTATATCATAAAAAGAATTATAATAAATTAATTTTTTCTCGACAAAAGGTTAAACACTTAATAGTAGGTGTCTTAAATATCGAGTTAAAATATTCAATATTAACTTGCGTATAAATTAGAATCAAATAGATAATATAATATAAAATATCTTAAGTGGTACAATATAGGCAACTCTCTCTTGTATGTATAAAAAATATAATACATTGTTGCGTGCGCGTATAGACAAATATCGGAAAATATGTGCAGTGAGCAGTGAGTAGTGAGCAATGATAAATCTAATAATTTTAGTGTTGTTTTAAGTTTTTTGGTGAAAATGATTTGTTTCATCTTTTGCGATTTTCTTCAAAACGAAGCAAAAAACGAGCAAATCTCTAAAGGACTTTTTGTCTTAGTTTATCGGTCCCCTACGCGCTCCTAAAGTTTTGACATTTAAATTGGGGACACCCTGTATATAGATTTTATCTCGAATTATATTACATAGTAGAAGGAAGCAAATGGCACGCGCGTAGCGCGCGCTTTGTGATATTCTGGTATATTATAAATCCTCAATAAACGAAGATCAATCTTCTATTTTTCTTGAAACTTTTTAAAGTTACCGGTAATTCCATGTGTAGGGTGAATGTACGATTTTCGATCTTCGAGTAAAGATAAGTGGATTTTAATTACATTCAGTTTCGTCAGCGGGAAAACAACCTGACTGGCCGGGTGTCATAATAATACACGTGCATAAATCTACCCGGAAGGCTCCGCGAGAATCTTCCCTTTTTTTATCTCGATCACAGCGGTAGAGACGCGTCGCAATTTCGTGGGGTTCAAGTGCGTTCTCACGAAGTTCGTGACGGTTTTCTCATGGCATCCGGATATTCTCATCGCTATCAGGCTAATTATTACGGCCCTGGCGTTGTGTTCGGTGATTAAAAGGTCTGCGATCCGAAAAGACGGCTGTTTTTTAATTAATTCATTCGATCGTTATCCAAAAATTGATATTTCCCAACTGAATCTATCCTTTAACGTGTGAGACTCTCACGTTAATTTTTAATGGTAAATATGAGTCGATTATCTTAACATCTGCATGTCTCGTCTACCCCTTCCGTAGCTTCAGGCGAATAAGCTATTTCGAGAGATAAGATCGAATCGTAAAGGCAATAACACGCATGTTATCGACGTTAATTTATCGGGAATAAGTTCAAAACAACACGGATAATTCACACGCATCTGGAAACCAGTTATCTCGGAAACTAGGAAAAGCCGGTTGAAAAGGAAAAAAGGGAAGAGGAGGGAACACTCTCGATTCCCACGGTGGATTATCGCGGCTGTCTGCGCCGGGGCGAAAAATGCCACAAAGTAGCTCGTTAGACGAAAATATTATGCAAACGATCCGCCGAGGTGCAAGCCGGTTGCACCGATACCTGATTTTTTGCGATTGTGAGTCACGACGACGTTGACACCAACAACGTGTCTTGTGTTGCCGATTTAAAAATGGGTTCTCTCGCGACGCAGGATAACGAATACGTCGTTCACGATGTCATTATCGCAATTCTCGCGCGAAGTGTTACTATTCAAGAGTCGTTAATCAAATCGACGACATCATCGATACGACGAGAAGAGAGATGAAGAGATTGCAATTTAGATCGTCTGGATCTAACAGAGGATCGAGAAAACGATCCACTTGGAACGGCACGCACGCCTATGGGATGCGGAAAATTAATTCGACGGATGTGACGTCACGATTGCGCTTCCTGCGAGAGTCTCCCGAGAGGCTTCTCCACTCGCGTCACACGCGAGTTCTCCTTGCGAGGCGTTCCCAAGATATAGGCAAGGATACGGGTCCTTGAGCGGTGACGCGGATTCTCCTCTGCGAGACATTCTTTCTCACCGCATATCTAATCATATTTTTATTTATCTATCGCAATGTGAGATTCATGAGGTATTGCTATAAGTGTGACGTGAGCCAAGAGATAAAAGATTCTTCTCCAGTTCTTTTAAAGGACCATGACCGCTTTAAAAATCTCTAAATTGTGAAGAGATTACAAAGAGAGATACCACATAATGATCTTCACATTACAAGTTATTCATATCAGGATTAAGATCGGGATTAAGATCGTCAGTCGAAGATCCTTCTCGGGTGACGCTTCGACGAGAAGATAAAAACAGGACGTCAGAGAATACCGTTTTCCCGCGGTTTCGCTTCGTACACAATGCGCCTCTCGTATAAATGCCGATCGGCGGCTTTCTACGCGAGAGACGCGAGATCCCGAAATCCCGGTCGCAAATATCCCGTGGAATGTTTTTCCGTGAGATGGATCGTAGCGTCCGCAAAAAAGGAAACGCCGCCGTGTTGTCGCTTTGTGCCCCGAAAACGGTTCCCATGGATCCCATGGTCCTGGAGAAAAAGGAAGGAATGTCTTCGAAGAGGCGCCACTAGGAGAGAATGTTCGCCAGGTCTTTCCCTCTCTCTCTCTCTCTCTTGCACTTTGAAGTATATGTGCATTTGGGTCGCCTTCCCCGTCCACCCCTCCTCGTTCCTTCCTTCTTCCACCGCTGTCCTCTTTTGCTTAGCTTGCTTCTTCTATATCTTGCTCGTCCCTACACTTTTCTCTTTCTCTCTTTCACTTTCTTTCTCTTGCTCTTTCGCTCTCGACGGTGAAACCAACCGCACTTTCCGTTCTTCTCTCCTTTTCTCCCCTCTTCGCATGTATTTGGTACCTTTTCCCCTCCTTCTCGTCCGAATCTCCTTTTTACCACCTGGCAGAACAGCAGCTGGTAGCAGTTTGTTCCTCGGGGAGAAGGGATAAAGGATTTCTCTGTCCTTCGGGAACTCCGGAGAATCGGCGTAGCGATCGGCGACAAAATTTACGCAATTTGCTTGCAGATTTGTAATTCACAGATGCAACTCGTGTAATTTAGATGCATCATCGTAAAGATGAAACGGACAAATCTATCTGACTCTTGAAATATTTATGTATAATTTAGTTATGTCATGGGAAAATTAATTTAACTAGTTGCAGATAATGCGTGGCGTGACTTCTTTTTTATCTTATACTTATTTTAATATATTTTATTATATATTAATATTATATATATATATATATATATAAACTATTTTCCTTTTTAATACTTACGAGCAAAACTAAATGAGTGTTAAGAAATCTATAATAATATTACAGTATCGAAATAAAACAACGTCGTGCATTAAAGAATCTAAAAACGATTTAGAGATGATTATTATGATAGGGCAGACAGGGAATCTCGCAATTTCTCTCTTTCAAACTAATTTACTTTATTCTGTTTTCAAGACAGAGAAATTATGATTGTGTCGACCTTTTAGTCGCGATTCTCGGTCCCGGTTCTCACGTGCGATCCCGACGTCGAAGAAGCGCGTATACGCGGTTGAGCGCAATTACGCGCGGCGAATCGTTAAGACTCATCGTGGCTGGTTTTACGAGCGGTTACGTGGAATAATAATCAACGAATTAAAATGCGGTTGAAAGCCCCTCTCGTTCTTTCTCTCGTTGGGGAGGCGCCTGCCTTGCCGCCACTCGGGGGTGCGCGCGTCCCCCG